CAAAACAAATGATTTTGTAATCTGTAAGTACTATGTTTTGTTTAAAGGAAAAAAAAAACAATTTATAACAGGAAACAATTTGTTTCACATCAGCTTCTATGTTGTCTCCATTTTTAAGTACTTTGTAGTGAAACACTGTATGGGAACTGCTGAGTCACGGCCTGAACCTGTGATTAATCACCTGAGGTGAGCCATGAGTCAGCCAGAGGAGCACAGGTGAAGGCAATTCCTAGACCTATTTAAGAGCTGGCTACCAGAGGGGAAGGGTCTCTGCTGGAGATTACTCCTCTTGGTGTCTTCTGGGGAGCTCAGTTGAAGGGTAAGCTCTTCCACTAATTCTCTTTTGTGATTGTTGTTTATTTTGCCTAATTCTTTTGATTATATTGTAATTGTAACATCTTGATATCTATTGATTATACAATTATATTGTAATTATAACATCTTGATTATACAGGTCCCATAAACTACTTGGTTAATGCAGCTGGGATCAACAGGTAAGTTATTAGTTAGTGTAATATTCATTGCTCGTGTTTAACTATGAGTAAATGTGATCATTGAGGTTGTGCAGTGAGTTCACGTGTGGTTTTTGGCCTGTTTGTCAGGGATGGCTTGTTACTGAGAACCAAGACTGAAGATATGGTTTCCCAGATTCACACAAACCTTTTGGGAACAATGCTGACATGTAAAGCTGCTGTAAAAAGTATGATTGATCATCAAGGAGGTGCTATTGTTAATATAGGTAAATTGCTTGTCTAATCCCATGGAATCATATGGAAAGTACTTTTCTGGAATGGTCTGGCATGTGCAATGTTGAAATGTTGCTTTTTGTAATTGCCTGTTTTCTTCATATTTCTTCCTATGTGCAGCATTTCTTTGTGAGTCCTCATCCTTAAACGAATTTCAGCAACTTCTGGATGTTGCTTGACAGCTTGTTTCAATAATAAACACCTAAGAGATCAAATATTTCTGAAACAAACAAACCAATGTTACCATTCCTTATCAGGGGACTTTCAGTAGCTAAATCTGCCAACTTCTGGTTATAAGAACTAAATTGGTGTGGTAGTTCCTTTTTTTTTTTTTTCAATAGTATTTTTCCATTTTACTTTCCTGATCCCTGTTCCTCACCATAGATATGCACTTATCACAAACATCACAGATAATCGAGGGATCTGCTTATTGCAATAGACAGTAATGTGCATTGAGTAATATCCTTTTAACTCCTTTTCCTTTAATCTCATTTTCTATTAAAAATTTAAAGCTGAAATAACACAGCTATTAGATTCTAACCTCTTCCAATGTTGTTTTCTTTTAGGAAGTGTTGTAGGACTTAAAGGCAACTCTGGTCAAAGCATATACAGTGCTAGCAAAGCAGGAATAGTTGGATTTTCACGTTCTCTTGCTAAAGAAGTAGCAAGAAAGCAGATTCGAGTCAACGTGGTTGCTCCAGGTTAGTTTTTGGGAAGTTTGTATATCTCCACTGCAATAAGTGAGTGGTTGTCAAGCCTGCTAGATATTTGATGTACTCTGAAAGTACTGAAGACAAATTACTATTTTTTTTCTTCAACCTTTGTAAGTAAGGGAGGTTTTTTTTCTGTTTTATTTTTTCCCTGGTTTAACATATTATATATTCCTTTAGAAAACACTGTCGTTTTTCCAAGGGAACGCTGAGAAACTCAGGAGCATGCATCTGCCTGTTCTTCTATCCACACTTATGTAAAAAATGGCTTTTTTTCTTTGTTCCTCCTTCAAAATCTGCCATCCTTACAGATGGAAGAATTAGAAATAGCTATATACAGATAGCTACCTTTGTGTAAAGAATGCTAAAGAATGCTGCTAAAGAATGTTTATTTGTTATTAGAGGAACATTAAAGAGCAGAAGAAGCTGCCTTGAAAACATCCCTTTCTTTCCTTTTAGTAAACAGAGATGGTCTGGAAAGAAAGCTTATGAGGATGGTTTCACAGGACAGTCTGTTCCAGGCAAACCACCACCCTTAGGAAAAAAACCTCGTGTGTCTTGTCTGACATCCTGTGCTCTGAGTTATGTGTGCACTCTGCTGCTCGCCTTGTGCTGCTGTGTCTTTCAGACTTCCCCAGTTGAGCTCCTGAACCAGGCAGGAAAAATATCTTGCCTTGGTTAGTGAGTTGAACAGCTGATAGGGGAGATTGATACAGCAGAAGGTGAAGCTGAGACGACTTCTTAGTGGCAGAAGGACAGTAGATCAGATCTTTGTGAAGCTGCAGCTTTTGTGAAGGGAACTGAAACAGTGGGAAAATTAAATCTCAGAAAATTGAAGTTGTGAAGTGTTGTCCTTCAAAGCTGTAGAGAAATATCCTTCAGAGAGTTATAATAAGAGAGTTATAGTAGAAATTCTGAAAGTGCTGGAATAAGCTCTGGAATTCAATGGAAGCACTTGCCACAGTAGGTGTTTCTTGTTAGGGATCTCACCCCCATGTTTTTTAATTGTGTATGTTTTGATGGCACGTTGACTTGTTGTCTTTCAGAAAAGTCACAACATGTTTTTTGAGTGCAAAAAAGTTACTTTTTTTTTAACACAGATCTCATAATGTCAGTGCTTCCAGAACTATGTTGTTGGGTAGGGAAAAAATTTGTTCTTGGCTACAACATGATGCAGGCTGGCTTCTAAGACTTCAGAGAATGCTTGCTGGGGATGGTCATGTTGGAGGTTTCAGGGGAAACTCCACTGGGAAAATTTAATTGGAAATTAGGTTACTCTTCATGTTCTTCCTTTCTTAGGTTTTATTCACACAGAGATGACTGCTCATTTGGAAGAAGACCAGCTGAAGAAAGCAATTCCCCTTGGAAGATTTGGAGACCCTCACGAAGTTGCACAAGCTGTTTTATTTCTCCTGGAGTCCCCTTATGTTACAGGCAGTACTCTAATTGTGGATGGCGGCTTGCAGCTTTTGATTTAGACATTACCTTGAATAAATACCTGCTTAAATGTCAAGTGGGTAACATATACATGCTAATTAAGGAGGGGGAAATTAGTCTAAGATTCATGTATGCAATTGACTTGATATTCTTTAATCAGATAACTAATTTGTTGCAGTAGAGTCCGACAGGTATGCTTAGCTTCCTGAAAGAGTCCATTTGGTTGTATGAAGTTTGCATATGTAACAATTCTAAAAAGGTCTGCCTTTGGTATGGTGATAGTTATAAATCACTTCCTGATGCATTT